TCGGTTTCCCCTCAAAAACCGATAAAACAGAGGCCTTTGTAGGTCAGCCTGGGGAGAAAGGTGACAAGGAAAGGACGAAAAGAGGGTTAGGAAGCGTGTTAAAGTGCGGAAAGGATCATAGAATTAGAGGGTCTTAGTATTCCCTCGCCTTGATGGAGTGCACTGGTGAGGTAGCGTTAAACGCTTCAGCAACATGGATCCCAGGGCAGATAGTGAGTGTGCGGTGCCTGTTCTTAGATCCAAGTATTACTGAGGTAAACGACGTGGACGTACGTTTAACACTTGACTGTAGGCATATCCTGTTCAACACCGCACACTATATACCAGCCGCCCTTCACCTCTTCAAATGCGTCAAAAATGGTTTTGTGGTCAGTCCCAAATTCTTCAACTACATCGTAACTACTGATATCCAAAGCATGCTCCACTTTTTAAAAAATGCCATTTAGTGCGTAACAGATCGACCGAAGCGACATGACATTAAAATTTCCGGACTTAAAACGCTTAAACTAAATTTGAGTAAGTAACAAAAACAAATGAATATCACACATTTTCCTAAGTTGAATTCGGAGCTATCTTCTTTAAAATTTAAACATTTTATTGATACCGTTACCAGCCCGATACAAATGGTCAGAAAGATTTATTCCAAGTCTATGCATACTATATGCGAAAAGACTTTTTCCCCAACCTAATATTTAAGATTTTATTGATACGTAAAAACCTCGATTTTGTCACTGACTCACTCACTGATGATCATTAAAATTCTTAAGGTACTCCTTAAGCCCTAGAAAACTGAAATATGGTATGTAAGCTAATATTGGTACACAGACAACAGAAAAATTCTAAAACTTGATACTTTTATCCCCATCCCCTTAATCTAGGGGGTAGAATTTTGTAGTAAACTTCCCCAATATTTTGTGCTAAAGGTCTGAAAATTGAAATAGGGATTATCATAAATAATAAAACACGAATTTCAATATTTTTAGTAAGTAAATCACCCCCCACCTTTTAATTTAGGCGATGGAAGTTTGATTCCACAGATTTTTCCATAAAAACTCAATTTAGAAATGTAATAAGCAACTTATAAAAAGAAGTGAAATTCCACCAAAGATGTTACCAAGAAGATACTATAATATGAAAAAAGAGCTCTGAAAATGCTCCCAGTATACAAAACACTAAAACTTTCTGTCTTGAAAATATTCTAGGATGAAAAATCATTCACAAAGAGAAATCAAAATCGTATATGCAACTGTAGATATTTTGTGTTGTGGCGTACCAAGCAAAATGCAACTTATTAACCTTTTACTCTTCATATTTAATTAATTTGGACACTGCCGTAATATCTTCAATGATTGAGCCCTGTCATATTCAAAAAATACAGTTTGACATTAGATATTATTAGTTTCGTAACTGGCAACTGAAATGGAAACATAAATGCATAGTGCAGCTACCAATGCGTCCTTATCACTATTTAATTTCATGAATCGTAGGTAAACATACCAATTGACACAGTAAATCTAACCACCGTTAACGGGATAATCTTATCTATGTCCCAATTAAAAGCTAAGTACCACATTGTTTTTTATAAAGCAAAATCTTGTATAAGTGAGCGATTAAAGATTTCCGCTGCTTATTTTATAGATATCGTTCCTCAGTAGGAAACATCTTGAACAGTAATTTATTTTAAAAAGAGTTAAATACCTAAGGTGAATTACGTTATTGTCATAAACAATGGTCTGACTAATTATCTCCCACAATATTTGGACAATTCCATTTTGCAAATATCACCAAGCAAACCAACAAGTTTAGGATATAGCGGAGACGCAGAAAAGTCGCCGTGACACCAAGAGACGAAACCACGCATACATTTCAGTCGTACTGTAACAAAAAGCGATTGTTCTTGTGTTTTACTGGTTTATTTCTTCATGTGACACCGAAATTCCAATATCGTAAGTGATTTTAGAAACTAGATTCCCGCTAGCTGTTCGCCCGCGTGTTCCCTAGAAAACTGTTTGTTGGGAGTAAAAGTAGTCTATATGTTAATTTTGACTTAGATCCATGTTCTAAATTTCATCAAATTGTTTTAAGTAGTTTTTATGTGAAAGAGAACCAAACAAACACATACATTATTGTACATTATAATATTAGTCGTTTATGATATAATGACTTGTATTTTATTTAATTCAATCAGGCACTACCTTGAACAAGTCCAATACTATAAATGTACAGTACAACCATCATGGTATCTCGTAACTTTCACATCCAGTCCAGCTTATACTTACATGGTATGTGTTCTAACTAAAGTACCTCGTATTTGCTTTCTTGACAGGCTGTGGAAGTAACAAAATAATATAGTTTAATTTATGTGTATCTGTAGTGTTGGTAAATAAATTAAGTATTTGTTGATGATATCCCGGCCAACGTATTAAAAATCTCCATTTTAATTGCATGACTTATTTATAACCAAAGCTTGATTGCACAAATGATTTTAATGACATCTAATTAAAGACTTCCTTTAACATTTAGAATAGTCGTGCAACTGGGTCTAACATATGCATTAGCGCCTATGAATAGCGCCATTCCACTATTATATTTTCTACAATAACGAACGTGCCTCGGAAATAATCGGTAATTGACAAAGTGTTGACCAAAAAAAAATTGTATAGCATTTTACTTTATGTAACAATAACAGCAAATGTTGATTCACTTAAAGTATATCAAACTTAAACAAATACTATTATCTAGGTGATACTCTACATCTTTTTACACAATTTATTATGCAATAAAGCATAAAAAAATAAATCTCGATTAAAAAAATCAACAAATAATGATAATAATCTTGTAATCTAAATGTCACCTTGCTGTACAGGTGAAGGTTGCGTTCAGTAAAGTCTACGTCAAGCTATATACGTATTTGAATAGCACCGTACAATCAAATACTATTAAACAGATATTACAGTGTATTCGCTATGTATAACTTATACATAATTATGCTAAATACTATATATATATCAATTAACTGATAATTTATAGAGAAAGGGAATGTTTGACGTAGGGAAATCATAGTAATGTATAACTATGAACCTAACAATGATCCTTGCGCAACGCAATGAAAATTATATTGTGGCGTACGTGAATCTTTATAAAATATAATGATTAATACTCGTAACTAAAATCTGGCAGTAATCACCAATATATGAAGTAATCAACCTACGGTTGCCTGGCAGAAATTTCTCTTTAGCGATAAGGCCGCCGATTGTACAACTAAACTGTATAAATTGTATTTTCTCTATAATTTATGGTGTACAATAAAGAATTTATTCATTATTCATTTCTGCAAATCGCCGCGAATACTCACCATTTAAGCTTCCAAAGAATAATGTCTTATAGACTTCTATCTAACTGTATACTATCATCAAAACACAACACCACTGTAATAAAAATTAAAAAGACAATCAACACCTTAGTGTTATGTAAACACGGAACCTGTAAAGGGTCCGAAACGTCAATAAACCTAAATACTAACGCGATGAAGCCGTTTAAAAGTTGTTTCATTAATGGATAGTGCGCGTGAACATTTAAGAAATCAATAATTAATTAAAAATTTAATGCAATATTATCCGAAATTTTCAAATAGGCTTCGTCTAGTATGCTAGTGCTGTTATATAAACATCCTCGAACTCGTCGTCAAACGCACGTAGCGCTGTTATAATATAGTTTCAATCAAATAAAACCTTTTTAAAAAGATCGTAAAGGTTATATTTCACTGAAGCTCTTTTACATAACTACGCTGATTTAGACGACGAGTTCCAAATTATTATTTTTTAACAAAATATTGCTGCTAGTTTTGCTCCCGTTTACTGTAACTTATTTCCCAAACCGAGAGAACCGAATGTTGGCAAATCAGAACCGCAATTTATTCTCTTTTAAGATAAGAATGATGAACACATAATTGATCCATTAATGGTTAAAAATACTCTTTTTCCATTTAACTATATTTTTTTAGCCTACCTAGTGCTGCATTCTGGCGGTAGGAAGTTGCAATATTATTTCTTATTGCATCGCTGGCACAATAAGAAATAATATTGCTTTAAAAACGATATCGTTTTGCACGGAATAAACGAGCTATTATGTTTCATTGATCACTACAAAACCAATATCTGCGGTTATTGTAAAATGTGTCATGTAAAGACTTGGCTACAAAGCGAATAATATATTTATTACAAGAAAAAAATAATAATAATGGGAACTACACTTTGTTTTTCTTTCACAATCAATTTTAAGGTTTTGTTAATTAATTATGACCTTCGCGGTAATATGAGCCAGATGCCGTTTACATAATGTCAAGAATTAGCCATTATTATTTTGTGAATTCAAAACCTCATGCAACCTAATGGTTCTATTAAAAAAAAACTCAGAAAGAAAAAGAGGAAACAAGATGATGTCAACATGCCAGTTAATGAGACGCATAGAAACAAACGATGGCATATTGCAGGAATTAGAGCGGCAATTGGCATTATTTTCAAATCATTATAAATAATTTCATATTATATCTCAGCTACAAAGCAACTCTCATGCCCATATTGTCAATTTCCATTATTAAAACTTAAATAACAATTGCAAATTATCATATTTAATCAATTTTGTATTCATAATACTATGCTGGTAAATATAATTAACGTAAAATGCTTAAAAATCCACTAGTCCCATTTATCCCGAGATGGGACACGAATCCGTGACCTTTCGCTATCCGGGCGTCTGCTCTGACCACTGAGCTACCCGAGACTGGTGGATGTTTTTGGTGCATTTTATATTAAGAATATTGAAAAAGTTGAAGTTTTTATTTTTTTAACGAGAATAGTTTCACCAGTTCTTTTACTTACATAATATTATTTCATTTCTTTGTTCACCTTTTGAGCCTTCTCTTTACTTGGTATCTAAGCAGTGTATGTGATGAACCGTAATATTTATTATAATATTAATTTCTAGCGAATTCGGCGAAGATGTTATTAAAGCTTTGTAACGGACCTAAAATACGACAGTATGCTATCATCATTATTGGTAAGTTTTCATGACAGTTGCGAAAGATATTGTGCATAGAATGATTGGTGTAAAGATGCATGTTGATGGTGTGTGTCCTAGCGAAAGGGAAATTAATAGGCTGATGATAATTGAGTAAAATGTTGTAAAAATCAATTGAGTAAAAATCAGTATGTTGATTATCAATAAAGAAATTTGATTGTCATTAAGAAATGAGGGAGTATTTAAAAAAAACATAAGTTCCCGAAATCAAACTAGATGGCGCTACGGTACTTTTTAAATTTCTCCATGACAACCCTTCCGGTTGTCTGTCATGTATAAATGTAAATTAATTTTTAAAACTCAATAAACAAGTCATATTCTATTTGTACTTTTTCGAATTTGTATTTATATCTAAGGTTCGAACATTGCAAATTGATTTTTTTTAATAGTTAAAATGAACGGAAGTTACTATATTTAGTCCATTCGTTTCCCGCAAAAATCAACTTTTGCTAGAGTCGCCATCAAGTGAGATGCTTTATAGTGCTTTCTTTTTTTTCTTAAAATACTTCCTCATTACTTTAGAGAATCCACTGAGGGACAAGAAGTCTCACTATATTATCGATGTGTATTAAACTAAGATTATTCTAACACCACTGGCATTCACACAAGATTCGATCATCCGACTAAAATATCCGACTGAACAATGTAAAAAATACCGTGGCTATCATATATAGCAGCTTCATTTCTTAACCTCCGGGCTGACGTCGGTATTAGGTTGTGAGAATTTTGCAAAACGCTGTGAGCAAATCATTAACATATAGACAATCTTATAATTTTATTAACATTGTATCAATGTCATAAATTAGTGAAGGTGTCTCAGGCTTTGAATCCCACTTACATATGGATCGTAAGTCGATAAAGCTAATATTCACGGGTATAGACTAGAACTTCAGATTAATGCAACAACTTTTACTTAGTTGAGTTTTTACTTAGTCCCTAGCTCCCTCCCTTCTCTCACATTTCCCTAGTGTGCTTCCTAGGGAAATGTTTAGTGGGATAAAAAATCCTATTATCTAATTCAGCTAATACCCTGTCTGTATATCAAATTTCATAAAAATCCGTTCAGTAGTTTCGGCGTGATTGACGAACAAAAACATATTAATAGGATATACCATATTTATAGAAATTTCGCGCAAGGCATGATCTGTTATATTGAATAATATTCTTTTCCAGTGAATCTCAACATATTAGGAACGGGCATGACTGTCACGTGGCCGTCTCCAATCTACGTGAAACTGAGGAATAAAGACGAGGCAGTGTTAGAACGACAGATCACGCCGGAGGAGTGGTCGTGGATACTGTCTGCGGGTTATTTGGTCTCCGCAATAAGTAAGTTCTAGAGCAAAATAGTTCTTTTTTAGGTTTGCGAGATCATAAGTGCTGAGATTCTTTTTCTCTCTCACCTTTTCATTTAATTATCGCTGATATTTTGGATTAACCATCGATTTCAATTCGAATTCGAAAACAAACCTTTCAATTAGTTTCGTTAGATTTTTTCATTTCATTTCATCGAAATGAAGTTCCCTATTGTATCAGTTGACCTATTTATCACTTGTATTTTTCGTGATCTCGATGTTGATTTGGTCGAAATATTTTTACCGAAGGTATGGTTGGCTGAAATAACATTTGTTCGCAATAAACTGTATGATAATCGTGGTACCACATTATCTTGGATGTATTGAACCTACTACCGATATAAATATTCTTATTTATACCTATATGGTAAATAATTATTGACTTGGGTTTGACCTTAGCGCAGCTTTTAACCGACTCAAAATCGCAATCCACCCAAACAGTCGTAAGAAATATTTTTACAATAATAATAATAATATAATCTTTATTGCACACATACAGACAGGAAAACAGAAAGAAATTACACAGTAAAACAATACAAAGTACACAAAAGGCGGCCTTATTGCTAAACAGCAATCTCTTCCAGATGTTCTAATTGTTATATCTTTGCCGGAACATTCATGAAAATACGCTCTGTTGTAGCGAAAAAGTAGCAAGTGCTTAAGAAATTCGTCAGTCCTGTTAGGTGCTGGGCAGATTGGTGGTTAGAGCCGTCGCCCGGATTGCGAAAGGTCAAGGATTCGAGTCCCATCTCAAAATGCCAGACACAAAGTGGTATTTTAAGCAATTTCCATTAAGAACGGTGGTTTATATCAGCTAAAAAACAAAAGATAATATTTTGCATTCATTCAAATTTCTAAAGCAGGATTTTTATTATCAACGGGTACCTGTGTATATTTTTATGAAAGTAGGTATGTTCTTTCATCGATTTCTTCTTGAGTTGTGAACCAATTTCTATCAAACTAGCTGTTCCTCCGCGTCTTTGCCTAAGTAAATTATTACCTATGTCCCCCGCGTATTATGTGGCTTCCAGTAAATGAATAATAATAATGGGTTCGGTATAGAGAGTTTATAATCGGTCTAATAGTTTCGAAGCCTATCCAATGCTTATAAACAAGCGATCAAATCTTTACAATATGAGTATAGATTTATTAAAAAAAAATATGTCGAGCAAATAAACAAAATCTCCTTTCCTAAGACTTCCACGCTTTCACTATGTTGAATATTATATAAAAACTATCAATACATATAACTAAAAATAAAAACTTTTTTCGACAAATATGTAGATCCATTTTCAAACTTTAAAAAGTAATAAATAATACTTATCTCAAAAGCGAAGGCCCTCGACGAAGGTCTTCTATAGATTATTCATTGAATGAATTCAATAGCATTTTCCTGAATAAGTCGCTTTTGGGATAAGTATTATTTATCACTTTTTAAAATTTGAAGACGGTTCTACTTTTCGAAAAAAGTTTTCAAAAAAGTATTATACTTACCAACAAAGATCCCAGGTAGCAATTTAAACTTGATTTTGACTTCCAACAAGTTTGATACATCAAAAAAGAAGACTTGCTTCAAGTTTGCCATGACAACTGCAGCAACTTGCAGCAAGTTTTTAATCAAACTTTCTAGTTTTAGTGTGACAAACTTGCACTACCTTTGACATATCAAAGGTAGTGCTAGTGTACTGACTCGAATACCTAGCAGGTACTTGCGTACTCGAGTACCTGCTACCTGGAATACAGGTTTCGAGGCATATATTACTTTACGTTTACTAAATTTTTATTAATCTTTTGATCTTTTGATCAAAAGACCTCAGACCACCCACAGCACAGAGCCTAGCCTAAGAGTCAAAGTAGTAAACTGGAACGGTTAGTTTCAAATCCCATATTAAGATCACATTAAACGGCATATTACTTATACAATCTAAGAATATAAACTGGTACCGCGATGCATTAAATGAACAGCGTCATCTAGTTTGCAGACTTAGAACTATTCGAGCACCTATGAAGATGATGGGTGTGTTACAAATAAATATCTTTGTCATAACAATATTATCGCAAACTTGAAACTTCATATTAAACATAATAATATTGCAGCGACATTGTCACAAACTTGCCTCGTATATTTGACGCAGCATTTTAGAATCAAAGAAAAATCAAACTTGTCCCAAGTTAGCATGCTATCTGAGATCCCACCAGTAATATTAAGATCTTGCTTTTATACTTACTAACATTTAAAACTCACGATAAAAAAAATTTTTCATTATGCGTTTGTTTGTTTTTATCTTATTCTTTTTTCTTTTCAGCCAATTTTATCCCGGGTATTCTTCAGGAACGCATCGGCCGTAAATATTGTCTAATGGTCGCAATAATTCCAAAGATATTAGAAGGTCTACTCCTGGTATCTACGTCTAAGATTTGGATACTGTACCTGTGCCGAACGTTGAATTCAGTTGCCGACGGTTTCCTAATATGTGTAGTACCAACTTATTCTGCAGAAATTGCAAGTGTATGTTAATAAAGAAACTATATATTAATATACCTACTCTGAGGATAGCCCTTATGACTTATGGAGTCAAGAATAAGTTCAGAAGCTATTTTGTATAAGATATTTTTTTAATTAAAATATACTCAAAGAAATAAAATAAAGCTCACAATTGATAAAACTGGTCATAGAGCGATGTTGAAAAGTAACATTTATTATTTTAAACATCAATGCAGCAATTCTGCTCTTAGCAGGGAGTATTCCTATACATATACAATAACACGCATGTAGTGGTCACATCTTATCTCTGTTCTATATTTTACCGTGTTTCAGGAGACTTTTGGATTAGGACCATTGTTTAACATGTTTTATTATTTACAGAAAGAAATCCGTGGTTCTTTAGGTACTTTACTACAGATTATGAGCTCTCTGGGCGTAGTCATCATGTTAGGTGTTGGCCCATTCCTCTCCTATAGGGCTACTAACATATTACTCTGCTCAGTAATTGTAGGCTGCGCGATTCCCTTGATACTTGTACCAGATAGCCCATATTTCTTATACGCAAAAGGTTTGTGCAATCTAGTGTTCATAATTATTTGTTTTCCTTATTTTATAAATATGTATTACACAAATCATCAAACATTAATAACCACTTTTATGCATAAAAACGGTATTCAGTTTTTTAACTGAATACCGTTTTCTGAAAAGTTAATCAATAGATTTTGAACTCAACTCTCCATAAATTAACGTTCAAATCAATCAGAGAGAGATTTTTATAATACCAGTTTTTATTTTTTATAAAACAGTCAGCAATTTCTGTTTCTTCATTACGAGTATTTCTAAAATCTGTTTATTTTCAGGACGCAGAGATAAGGCTTTAAAAGTGTTAACCTTCCTTCGTGGTTCTGAGATAACTGCTACCGAAGAACTAAAAGAATACATTTCAAATGAGAAGTTAAAAATATTCCAACATTTTAAAAATAGAATATTTTTAAAGAGTTTATTTCTTTGTGCTATTTTAGTTGTAGGTTCACAGTTATCAGGTTTTAACGGTGTGAATTTGTACCTGCAAACAATTCTAGAGTCCACGCATACTAATATTAGACCAGAGGTAGCGTCAGTCATCATCGGATGTATACAGCTCGCCGCCAGTATTTTTACGTCATTAGTCACAGATAGGTTTGGACGAAAACGTATTTTGACTACTACGTTTACCGGAATGGCGATAGGAATGGTGAGACTTAGTCATTCAAAAAATACATTTCTCAAATTTAAACATTCACAATAATTTATTCTAAAATTGTCCTTATTTATTGCAGGTTGGTCTAGGTACATTTTTCTATTTCACCGAAAATGCTGACGACATCACTGGTTTCATGAACTTCCTGCCATTAATAGCCCTTGTATTGATAGTATTCTGCTTTAGCGCAGGTAAGGGGAGACAACGTATCCATAAGTTAACATGACATGCCACCTATTTTTGGAAGAAAGACCATTACGTTTTAGTTTGCTCTACTTGACCACTAATGGGTTATAATATCTTAAATGTGGAATGGGGGTCAATCTTGTTGTTTCAAAGTGGTGTTTAAACACAGATTAATACAACCTATAAGCAAAACGCAATCCAGTAACACTAATAGCTGCCAGAACTCTAAACTACTCCTGGCAGCCATCATTGATTAGCTGTCCAGTATTAAGGCTTCTTCACACTTATTTCAAAAGATAAAAGACCACAGAAAAAATATATATCTATAAAACAGAACTTAAGTATATGTATAAGCAGATTACGGTTACTAGGTACATTCACATAAAACCCATCACCCATTAGAATTTTCTGATCACAAAATTCTTAGAACTCAAGTTACATAAGCCCTCGTATTCTGGAATACTAAAACAACTTAGGTACCACAACCACTTAGAAAAAAATTATCAATGATCGTTATCTGTGCTAGCCAGACAGAGAATTGATTTCAGCATCACAAAAACACTCGCCATTTTGCAGGTTGTTTCACTATTGTATAATAGAATCAGGTGCTACCTTGCGAAAGTCCATTGAACTTCTATATTCAATCAGTATCTTCAAGAACTACTGTGCATGCACCACCTGCTTCCCGCAAACGCACATATACAAGTGGTAACGTATCTCACAACCACTACTACAAGTGTTTTGCCCCTCCACGGAGCATCCTTTGGAGTTGTTTGTTACACCTCATGGACCATTTACACAACGCTAGTAATCCAGACAGTTCATTAAGCGAGGCTAATATCGGCCTCCCTCCAATCCAGTAATCAAGCCAGTAAAATGAAATAGAACGATTTTGAATTTTATTGAAATATCTAGGTTATAAGTCTTATATAAATGGACCATTACTTTCTTGTACTAATAGCATTAAAAATTATAGACTTACTATCATAATAGTTTATTTATGAAATATTTATCAAGTTATATTTCCTCTTTCTTTAGGTCCGGGATCAATAAACTGGATGTTATCAGCTGAAATGTTCGACAGTTCGTCAAGAGCAGTCGGCTTGTCCATCTGTTCTGTTCTATTCACTATAGCCGTATTCGTGGTGATCAGATTTTTCGCGCCTCTTATGCTGGCCATAGGACCAGCCGCTGGATATTGGATGTTTAGCTTGAACTGTCTAATAATGTCTGGATTAATAACCTTTTTATTTCCCGAAACAAAAGGGAAAACTTTTACAGAAATACAAATGAACTTAGTCGGTAAACATGACGAAGAAAAGTGCGAGAAAAATATTTCAAACGATTTCCGTTTATAAATATTTCTATGTATTTATATGTTAATCTTGATGATGATATTAATGTAACAACTGATTTATTGTTTTATTTACCCATTCAATGACGTTTTATTATAAGACACATCATACCCGTACATTATTGCGTTTTAAATCGGTGTAAACTTTATTGTGGTAGCGTCCCAGATAACTTGGGGCAAGTTTGATTTTTCTTTGATTCTAAATTGCTGCGTCAAATATACGAGGCAAGTTTGTGACAATGTCGCTGCAATATTGTTATGTTAAATATGAAGTTTCAAGTTTGCGACAATATTGTTTGAATATTGTTATGACAAAGATACTTATTTGTAACACACCCATCATCTTCATAGGTGCCTGAATAGTTCTAAGTCTGCAAACTAGATGGCGCTGTTCATTTAATGAATCGCGGTATCAGTTTATATTGTTAGATTGTATCTGGGGTATAATGTGATCTTAATATGGGATTCGAAACTATCCGTTCCAGTAAACTACTTTGACTCTTAGGCTAGGCTCTGTGCTGTGGTCTAATTTTAAAGTCGCAATCGTTTTTGGACCAAAATTTTTGAATGATCAAAAGATTAATAAAAACTTAGTAAACATAAAGTAATATTTGCCTCGAAACCTGTATTTCAAGTACTCGAGTACGTGAGTACCTACGAGGTATTCGAGTCAGTACACTTGCACTACTTTTGATATGTCAAAGGTAATGCAAGTTTGTCACACTGAAACTAGAAAGGTTGATTTAAACTTGCTGCAAGTTGTCATGGCAAACTTGAAGCAAGTCTTCTTTTTTGATGTAACAAACTTGTTGAAAGTCAGAAACAATTTTAAATTGCTATGGGGGGGTAACATTATACAAACACAGAACACTTTCTGTATTCTGTGTTTATCTCCCTCTCAGAATCTTCTGCATACCTCTTGTTAGAATGAGATAAACATTCTTGCATAGCTTTACATGTCAACTGCACCTACCTAGAACACGAAGCACGAAAAAATGCCGTGTTCAATGACTATTATTATTTTTATTAAAATTAAAAAGAGTCAATACAGTACTTATGCATGAAACTTCGATCAACAATACAACTGTTGATCGAACGCATGAAATGATATATTTTTGCTTTTCTCATTGTCAAAGCGCCTTTTCGTCGATTTTTGTTTTGTTCTAGGGCATTTTTAATTGTATATTTGTTAATAAGATACTACAGTGTTCGTCTTGAGTGTTAAGTATAGTTTAGTAAAGATTGTGTTTAGTTTTGTGTGAAATGTGATGTGTTTGCATGCATGCAAAACATCGTGCTTAGCTCAGTCTTCAGAGAGGAAATGGACATTATCAGCATCGACTATCATCAAGATATCGGTAAATAATTAAATTAAATTAATGTATTTTCGCATTATAGGGCTCTCAAGACATAGAAATTAGAAAATATTAACCCCATTTTTAATCCTTTATTTTGAAATATTTATCAAATAAAATGATGTTTGCATGTAACCTGACTTGAAACTTTCGGCTTTGTCGGTCATTTTGTGGCTCCCGGTATAAACTTTCCATCACTCTATATATTTATAGAAAGCATATAAAGATCCGTTGTGTAATTTTAAACATCTGAGCGACCGGGGAGCGACTTTATTTTATACTCTGTACAGAAAATTATCTCTGTATTAGAGACAGTATCAGGTCCTTTGATTAAAATATAAAAAAAAGATATGCCATCATATTAATCTTCAAATTGGGCCATATTTCATTGAGGCGGTTAGTTTCTTCCAAAGAGAATTCAAACAACAAGTTTTAGTTTCACATAAGGCATGCATTTCTTTCGCCATTCTTCTTGGACTCTCCGATCCTTTCTTCCATAGAGCACATTGAAAATTGTAAATGTTCTTTTCATTTACTCTTAGACACCATGCTCTTTGTTCCTTTCCCATGTTTCAAGCTAAATATATGACCATTTTCCATGATACTTTACCATTTTAACTAAATCTCCGCGTAGAGAATTATGAAGCTGCTTAAATTGTGTCCAATACCTTATCTACAGATTAGAAATTTCCGTCCACCGTATGTAACTTTAATAATCGATATTAATTTTAAGGAAGCGCAAGATGTGTAAAGTAAATAATTTGAGACGTTCATTTCTTTCCATCTACCCCTCAAATACAAAAAGACAGGATAATTTTAATTATATTTCACTAGTTGATCTTAAAAATGTTAAAACTTCTGATTTCGAACTTCCTACTTCATTTCTTGAATCCTTACCGCCAGCGACATAGCCCGCGTGTATTATATAGTGTAGTATAGTGTATTATTCATATGTATAAATAAACCTTTCTTTTTGAATAACTCTGTGTATTGATGCAAATCCATTGTGTATCTAGTTTAAAAGATCTCGGCGTACATATATTGAGAAGCGACATTATATCACACATATTGTTCAGAAGATAGAAGAGTAACTGAAGCAATAAAAGTAGCGCAACACACAGACCCGAGAGCAGAAAAGAGAATATTCTACATTGATTTTGTCAATAATAAAAATTAATTCAACCGACTTAATATTTCTCCTATATAGGTATAATCTGGAACCTTCGATACGGTGCTTCGATTCGGTACTTTGGTACATTTAATCAAATAACCTGCACGTCATATTGTACGTTGGCTTTAATTACACAGCTCACCACAGCCGCGTCACCTCATATGTTTCAAGCAATGGACTGCACAAATGGTAATGGAAATCATATGGAGCGCGATCAACTTAAAATGTTGCATAGGCGACACTCATAACAAGAGAATGGTGGGTTACTATTTATTTTAATAAATGAAACACTAGGATTTAGCCTACATCTGGCAGCACGATATCGTCTTTTTATTACCTTCTGCCAGTTAGAAGTTCAGATGTACTTTTTTTGCTAGAATGAAAAGATACCTATTGTTACATGATTCCACGGCGGGCTAAGCAATTTTCTAGCAAGCGTTAAATGAAAACGATAAGGCTAGGGAAAAAGACAATACCGTGCTGACAGATGTAGTTCAACCCACATTCAGTTTAGGCTGTTAATCGTAAGCCTACTCAAGGATGCCCACATTTGCTTAGAAAATTATGTTCGTATGTTTCTACTTTCTTCTTCTTTTATAATTGTTACAGGATATACTGAAAAATTCCAAAGTGATGATACTTCAGGAGTTGAATGAACCTATTCTGAATATGGCTGTGTCGAAGGCCGCTACGTTTCTGGGTGCTTACGACGTCAACATCATCGACCATCTCATATGGGACAACGATTATGTTGGAAAGTAAAGTAACGGTTCACTCTTTTGTAACTTTCGTTAAGGTGAAAAGCTCCCGATCTTGGTGATTCTAAACGACGAGTATCGTCAATTTGAATTTAAAATATTTTTGGTTTTACATTATTCGTGACTGTTGAATGTTTAAAATCGGGAAACTTCTGAGAAGATTATGGTACCAATTTTTTTATTCAGTCCTAGAATTTTCTACACTTTCGAGATGCTGGTAAATTAATATTCCTATATTGAAATTATGGATTCGAGAGCAGCATTACCAAATTAATAATTTATCCCAAACATATCTTCTTTATAAATTTATCCACGTCAAAGAAACAAAATACCGCCATGAAATCGATGAGATATCGCTAGAATCATTGTGTGAATTGAAAGATTTGCAAGCAGCTTTCACCCTGCATAATAGAATTAAATACTATATATCTATTGAGTGCTACACAGTCTTCAATACTTTATTTAAAGAGAAAGGTTTTGTTAGACGATTGATCGTTGTTATTTACAGAGTATTTTCCTTAATGGCGGATGTGATCTTCGTCGCTACGTCCACACACATGTGCGTGCAGAGATTCGCCAACCAGTCCAATGTGCCAGTACTCTGCATGAGGTCCAGAACACACGCCAGTATACAATCATTGGCCACCATCATGGCTATCATTGTAACAATTTTAATTATCTATACTAATATTCTTTCACCTACGGGAAGCTACATCATATTCAGTGAACATAGGATATATTTTATCCCGAAAAACAGCAAATAAAGGAATGAAAATAAAAGTGGAAGTTTGTATGAAAACATTGTTTACTACTCAATTTGTCATCTGTGTCGTGATAGGAATCTATATCCAAATAAACAATTCCCTAGAGGCCACGTGGGATAATATTTACGAAGCTAGTATTTTAATAAAATTAGGGAATCGGTTGTCATTTTTTAGGGGTTCCATACATCAAAAGGAAAATGGAGTCCTTACACGATCATTCTATTGTCTGTCTATCTATCTGTCAAGACACTATTGCGGTAAAGCGTGTCTACAATCTCTATGGGTGAACAATCCATTGAATATGTGAAAAAATAAAACTTCCAAATTAACGAAGAAATATACGTCCATTTATGCATAGATAGATACTCTCAAGAGATTCAAAATTGATAGGATCTATAGTCGAGAGAAGTAATAAATTGAGAAAATTTCATGACTTTAAATATTTGAAAACATATATATTTTATTTTTTAGGATTCATTAATTATTTGAAATCTACAAGTTTGCACGCAACCCTTTGCAGGTGCGGACTTGTCAGTTTATTTTTATTGTTTTAACATTGTGGGAACCGCCAACAGCACAATCATACTAAACAAAATGAAGAATAAAAAAAAATAATTGCACCGCAGGCCTCTCCTCTCCTCTTTAAATGTATTTTTAACTTTGTCGTTTCCTTCCGTGTAATGTCTGTTAAAAGGTTTCGCATACGTTGCAGGAAGAATACGGTACAATGCAGAATGTGACCTTAGCGTATGTGGGACACCCGCATCCAGTGCTCAACTCGTACCTCCTGCTTTGTCCTATGTTGGGCGCCAATATTAGATTTCGTTGTTGTTGCAAAAAAGAGGTAATTCTATAGATAAAACTAGGGTTGTAACATTTCCTCAGAAAAATATAGTATTTTTCAAAATAAGCTACAAAAAATTTAACTTTACGTATATGTACAAAACATTATACTC